GGCTGGGTCAGGGACTCCTCCAGGTGACTGCTACCTGTTTAGAATATCAGTCCCTGAGGTCCATTCCTAGGGAGGCGTGTGGGTGCGTTTGCTTAGTCCTTGTCCTGAGGTCTGGCCCGCGGCAAATACCTGTCTTCACGTTGGCTCCTTCGGGCCTGGCGCTGCCTGCCTGTAGCGTTTCTATCTGACTCAGCTGCCTGTGACATCCCGGCCTCGCGCTTGCCAGGCAGGCGCTTGCACCGCTGAGCTTCCTCCCCGGCCAAATAATTCATTTTGAGACAAATGTCAACAAATGCCGTGAGCGAGTGTTGTAATTACTTCTCCTTAGTGTCTTCCTTAACGAGTAAGTTTTTCTTCGTGAAGTTTTGCGTTCTGGTACATGGCCCGAAGCGCCTTTATAACACTCTGTCCTGGCTCGGGTCTGGACGGCTCCCCAAAGCCGCATGTGGTCACGGGGAGCTTCTCAGAGGTGGCTGACTGGAGTTTGTGATTGACCCATGAGCCAGTGCTGGGATGGGGGGTGTGCGTGCCGCACCGCCGAGGGGGCGGGGCAGCCTGCGTGCTGTGTGAGGGACAGAAAGAGGCTTGTCCTTCTTCTTGTAGCTTTTGCTGTCTTTGCAGCCATGAACTGTTGCCGTCTGCCATGCGCCACCCTGCCTTGGAGCCGCCTGCTGCTGATTATTACCTTTTATTATTATTATCTTTTTTGTTTTTTTTCTGGTACCAGGAATCGAACTCACAACCTCCCACTTGCCGGGCAGGCGCTGTGCGGCTGAGCTAAATCCCCAGCCCCTATCTTTTTTTTTTTTTTTTTAGACACCATCTCACTGTGCAATTCAGGCCGGCCTTGAACTCACTAGCTGAGGCTGGTGGCCTCAAACTCAGTGATCCTCCTGCCTCAGCCTCCCAAATGCTGGGATGATAGGTGTGCACCACCATGCCTGGCGGAGCCAGTTGATTACGGACTGAAACCTCTATAAACTGTGAGCTAAATGAACCTTTCCTCCTTTAACTTTGGGTATTGGGTATTTTGTCTCAGCAAGAAGAAAAGTATGGCCGGTACCGGAAAAAAACCAAAAAAAAAAAAAACAACAAAAAAAAACAAAAAACCAAAAGGAGAATAATTAGGACACAATGACAGGGAAAAGTGCTATCTTCTTACTTTCTGCTGAAGTGCTGCTCTTGTTTTAAAAGCCTTGAAAGGACTATCTTTCTCCAGGACCTTGCTTCTTAATTGTGGATAGGGAAAGTTAGTAATTCTCACTCTTCATAACTGACGTCAGTAAGATTATGTTAGGTGTACTTTCGCAAACGTGAAAGAAAGTTAAGAATACTGGCAGGTCATTCAAATAATTTGTTAGATGACTCCTAAAAGTCAGTTCTGGCTGGGCGTGGTGGTGCATGTCTGTAATCCCAGCACTAGGGAGGCTGAGGCAGGAGGTCCAGGAGTTCTAGGCCAGGCTGTGCTTTGTAGTGAGTTTGAGTCCAGTCTGGACTGCATGGTGAGAACCTGTCTCAGACAAACAAGCAAACACACACACACACACACACACACACACACAAAACCATTAGTGAGTTCATTCAAAGCAAAACAAGAGCAGTTCTAAAAGTACTAAGAAAGCCGGGCGTGGTGGCACACTCCTGTAATCGCAGCACTCAGAAGGCTGTGGCAGGAGGATTGTTGTGAGTTCAGACCAGCCTGGGCTACAAAGTGAGCTCAAGGCCAGCCTGAACTGCAGAGCGAGACCCTGTCTCAAAAAGACCAAAAACCCAAGAAACCAAACTGGCTGAAAGGAAGCTAACCTGGTGTGGGTTGTTAGGCCCAAGATGTTCTATCAGGACAAATCTCATGAAAAAAGTTTCGCTAAACATTTGAAAACTCTCTGAGCATTTTTTCCTTTAGGCCTGACTTACAGTATGTCAGGAAAATGACATTGTCTCATTTGGGGCTAGGATGTGGGGACAGCTTCAGTCTGATATATTTTTATTATTTTGCTATACAGTCTACGAATAATTTAATGAATTCTGTTTTTCTCCATTAAACAATAACAAATAGTTTTTATGCATTTTATTTGCAGAAGCACTTGCTTTTGCTCGTTTGCTTTTGCAGTTACTGAGGGTTGGATCTAGGGCCTTCACGTCGAGTGCCGTCCTCAGCCCATTTTTAAGTTTTGTGTTTTGAGGCAGGGGCTTGCGAGCTGCTGAGTTGCCCAGGCGGGGCTCAGCCTCCGCCTGCTGGGCTTGCGGGCCTGCTCGCCCCTGTGTTTGTATCTGGGGGAGACGGTTCCACACCCCCTCCCCCACGCTCTTTGTGACCAACTGTTCCTTTTTCTTGGCATCTTTGCCTCCTCCAATCAAATTTGACGTCAGTCTTGCTCATGTGGCCTTTTTTTCTAATTGCTTCGTCAGAACTAATCTTGCTTGCCAATGCTGAAGGGCATGTATTGCTATCTATCTTGGACCGTTATTTTGTTTATTTATTTTGTCTTTTGTCTTTTTGAGACAGGGTCTCGCTGTGTAGTTCAGGCTGACCTTGAGCTCACTTTGTGTCCCAGGCTGGCCTTGAGCTTGCTGTGATCGTCCTGCCTCAGCCTCCCGAGTGCTGGGATTACAGGCGTGCGCCACCATGCCTGACCTTCTCAGATTGTTGAGGGTTGGCTTGTCTCTTCCCGTGAGTAACGGATCTCACCAAGCTCTTCTGAAACGATGCACTGACCTGTGTGCCTCCTTCTCTTCCTTAAAGTACTCCCCCTCCCCTTTTTAATGGCGTTAATTTTAATTTAATAGCGTTAATAGCCTATCCAAGTGCCCTGCATGTACCAATTACCTCAGAACATTTTTGTCGGGGAACTGAATTTCGGGGCGTGGGGTGTATTTCATTTTACTGTGTAGATCAGCTCTGGTCCCCAGCGTGTTGCCAGGCGTAGAACACATGCTTACTTGATGCAGTACTTGTTAGTAATTGATACAGGAGCTGACAGGACATCACAATTCCAAGAACCTGAGGTGTACGTTTTGAGTTTAAAAGCGCCATTTCTCCTCATTTTATCAGCTACCCCCGGAAACACAGTACCAAGGAGATGCTAAGAGGGTGTGTGCCCTGAAGCAGTCCTCAGGGACTTCAGTGCGTCAGTCAGCGCTTACTGGAGAACAGAGGTAACACAAGATACACAATGTCTGAGGAGTTACGAGATCGGCCGACAGTGGCCCCCCAGAGTGGGAGGGCACGGTGCAGGGGGCGTCTGTCCGCAGGAGACCGAGGGGTTCAGTCCGGGGTCTGGCGCTCGCTGCAGTGTCCCGCGCGAGCCCGTGTCGGGAGGCGAGGGGCCGTGAGGAAGGCCGGGGACTCCGGCCCGGAAGCCCAGCTGGCAGATCCCGTTCTCTGTGGAGCATTGCTGGAGAGCTCATTTAGACCTTAAGAAGGTACAGTAATCCTCCGTGTTTGCCCTGCAACTCTGTCCCAGCTGCCTGCCCGCGGTGTGTGTGCGTGTGCGAATGTGGCAGAAGGTGCGGCCCCAGCCAGCAAACTTCGGGTGCCCCGGTGACAGGTCCTGTTGCAGCCCGCTGCTCTGTCTCTTCGAGCCGGCTGGTCGGGTCGCTGTAGCGCTTGCTGAAAGAGCCAGAGCAGCCCAGCACCCTGCTTCTTGCTCACAGCCCGGTTAAAGCCCGCGCCCTGGGCCTGCGGGGCCCGACTCCTGGTCAGCGCCCGCCGACCTTCAGTGACTTGTCCCAGGTCCCCGTGTGCTTTGGGGGCTCTGCTGCCGCGGCACTGTGTGTGGTGTGTGGCAGTCAGGCGTGCAGGGGGCAGCTGCAGCCGTTGTACTTTCAGCTCCTGGACCCCCATTCTGCTGTGGTCGCGCTTCCCTGCACCCTCTGCTCACCGGGCTTCGCGTCTCTGTCTCTCTTAGCTTTCTGCGTAATCCTGTGAGGGGCCGATCGCCGGGAATTGTTATGACTCCCGCACAGACTGCCTCCCACCCGGGTCTCCTCCTCCCCGCCCCTCCCGCTCCAACTCTTCCTGCCTTTTCTCTTTCTCCTCCGTCTCCCCCCCCACTCCCGTCCTCCAGCTCTCTTCTGTTCCTCTCTCCCCACTGAGCTCTCTGTCTTCCCTCCCTTCCCTGCCCCTCCTCTTTCAGTCTTCTTTTTCCGGGCTGGGTCCCTGTAGCCCAGGCAGCCCGGCGGTGAATGCAGCCAGCCCGGGCTGGCTTTGACCTTTTGCCTCGGCCTCCCAAATGCTAGGATTCCAGGCGTGTGTCACGGCACCTGGCTCGGTTTATTCTTTTGCATTGGCTTTTTTTTTGTGTGTGTGTTTGTCTTTTTGAGACAGGGTCTCACTGTGCAGTTCAGGCTGGTCTTGAACTCACTTTGTAGCCCAGGCTGGCCTTGAACTTGCAATGATCCTCCTGCCTCAGCCTCCCGAGTGCTGGGATTACAGGCGTGCGCCACCATGCCGGTGGCATTTACTTTAGAGGGCTCGAGGCATGGACAAGATGCTGTGTGTTGCACCTGTTTCTGCGAGGCTGGAAGTCGTGTGCCATCCCCAGCGGAGTCCGGCCTTACGTACAGAGTCTGCTAGCCTGAGCGCCTGTGTGATCTGTCAGCTGTGACCTGGGTCCCTGAGATATCCGTGTTCCCTTAGGCAGTTGAGGCAGATTATGTCTGAGGTCGTGTGATCAGGTTGGGCTTATAGTGCTACTCTAACTAGGACTGTGAGGCAAATGACAGCGTCTGAGCAGAAACCCTGTAAGTGAATGATTCAGGAAATTTGAAGAGTGAACCCGAGAGGGTCTGGCAGTTGGCGTCTGAGCCGGCATGGTGGCAGGGTTGGCAGTCACGTGTACCTCTGGCTGAATCTCACCCTAGGTACGTGTGGGGAGGTGGAGTTCTGTCCACTGCAGCCTCTTCTATTACAAGGGTTTGATTTTTTGGTGCTGACGTTTTCTTGATTCTCACAGTAAATAAAGGGGAGGCGTTTCTTACCGGCTTTTGTACCTTGGACTCTGCAACCCAGAGAGCAGACAGCTACCCCGAAACTGCCATGTCTTACAGCTAGGGTGACACTTCACATTCTAAAAATTTCTCTCTCTTTAACTTTTCTCTTGTGACGTTTTCTATTATGTTTAGGCCTTTCTAAAATAAAACATTAATATTTTCCACTTTTTAAAAAAGAGATACATTGTTATATGTGATTGTCAGTTTGGCTAAAGGTTATGTTACTGCTGGTATGAGACAAAGATCTACTCCTCCTTTCGCCTTTATAGAATAAAACACCCTCGCTCCCTGGTCACCTTTATACTCATATAGTTTTTTTTTTTTTTGGTCTTTTTGAGACAGAGTGTCGCTATGCAGTTCAGGCTGGCCTTGAACTCACTTTGTAGCCCCGGCTGGTCTCGAACTTGCAACAATCCTCCTGCCTCAGCCTGCCCAGTGCTGTAGTCTTAGAGTTTTAAATGGATTCTACTGTTTCTCCTGAAGGCATCGGCTTCGAACGTGAAGGACTGCGAAGCTTCGGAAAGGACAGTGGTGGTTGCCGGCCTTCCTGTTGACCTTTTCAGTCATCAGCAGTTGGCCACCCTGCTCAGGAGTTGCTTCCAGGATGTGCAGACCGTGGGTGGAGAAGTTGAAGACGTGATATATCCAACAAGAACCACGGCAGATGCGTATGTAATATTCAAAGAAAAAAAGGGTATTTCCAAGTCAAACTTCTATAATTTTAGAATTATTTCTCCAATGAAATTAAAATTACATTTGTTAGGCACACCGTGATCTAGCACTAGGGAGGCTGAGGCAGGAGGATCGCCATGAGTTTGAGGACAGCCTGGGCTACATAGTGCATGCAAGGCGAGCCTGAGCTATATAGCAAGACCCTGGCTCAAAAACAAAAACAAAAGCAAAAATATTACCTTTTGCTAAAATTATTCATAGGATTAATATTTAAAGTAGCTTTAAGTAATTATTCTAAACTGGTCGGAGCCTGTAATCCCAACTGCTGAGTGGGTAGGTGGGCTGTGACAGAAGGGTCGAAAGTTTGAGGCCAACCTGGGTAACCTGGGGAGACCCTGCCGCAAAATAAAACTAAAACAAAAGGGCGGCACATAGGTCCAAGGCAGAGTGAGGCTCGCCTCGCATGTGTGGAGTCCTGAATTCAGTCTTGGCACCACCACCAAAGCAAAATGAAACAAAATGAAGCAAAACTCTTGGACATAAAAGTGCCAGCACGCTATGAGCAAGAATCTGTGAAAATCGCTCATAATAAAGTTGTTAGTTGGGCTGGGGATTTAGCTCAGTGGCACAGCGCCTGCCTGGCAAGTGCAAGGTCGTGAGTTCGATTCCCGGTACTGGAAAACACGCCCTCCCCAAAAAAAACAACAAAAAAGTTGTTAGTGACTGACAAGTCGGAGTGTTTGAATGTGTCTCTGTCTTGGATCCGAGTAACGTAGAAAACGTGTAGAGTGGGGAAGGGTTGTGGGTGTGGGTTAGCAAAGAGGTTGGAGGCCTGAGGTCTGGGGTTTGACCGCATCCAGAGAGTCGGAACAGCTGGGGCATCTGAGAAAGAGCCCGAGCAGGTCAGTCAGCAGATGGAGGGAAACGGGGACAGCGTCACCGCGGTGAAGCCTCCGGGAGCCGGACTCACAGGGTGGGGATTCTTTGTTTGTCCTCTGTTCACATACATACCTCTGTGTGGTTTATTTTTTATTTATTTATTTTGTCTTTTTGAGACAGGGTCTCGCTGTGCAGTTCAGGCTGGCCTTGAGCTCACTTTGTAGCCCAGGCTGGTCTTGAACTGGGTGATCCTCCTGCCTCAGCCTCCTGAGTGCTGGGATTACCCAGCTCACCTCTGTGTGGTTTAAGAATTCAATCAGGGTCACATTAACCCAAAAGTGAGTTTAAATGTGTTGGAGTGCAGTGAAGAAGTTATTGGAATGTGGAATTTAGAGAAAAATAGAGGAAAAGCTTGGAGTTTCTATTCTTTTTTTTTATCTTTTAAAACCAAAGTATGTATTTTGAGTAAGGGCTGAAATTCTCAGGATGAACTGCATGCTGCAGCAGCGGCTCTCTTGGGTCTAGGTGCTGTCCTTCGTGAATCCACGCCTGCATCTGCGATGCACACCTTCTAGGTGCCTCGTTCGAGCTGTCCGGCGGCATTTCGCCTCGTAGCCTTTGCACTCCAGTATGCTTTCTCTTGCGCTTGGCGGGACAGCTGCATTTGCTACAGGTCCGCTTCTGAAGGTGGCAGGGCTTAGAGCCACACGGCGGCACGCCTGCGTCTCGTGAGGACGCTTTCCGAAGGGTGACGTTCCCTTCCTCATCTCGCTGCTGCCGCGGAGACCAAAGAGCTAGAGCTTCTCAGTGGCAGAGCTAACACCCGTATTTTTAATTAATTCATTATTAGCGTATCGCAAACTCTTTTGTGAGTGTCGCAAACACTTCTGACGCTAACGTTTCCACGTAGTCGCGGAGAATGTCGTCAGACAGAAGAAATACCATCTGGCAAAGAAGGCCGGACACGCCCAGCTCAGAGTCGCGCACTTGAGTGGAAAGGTGAGGCGGTGGCGGGGGTGCTGGTGGCCGGGCCCTCTGCGAGGTCTTTCCTGTGCGGGAACCCCGGACTTCGGGGAAGGAAGGTGCGGCCTCTGACCTGACGCAGCTCCCAAGGCCACACCGGTTCCGTGAGGTTCCGCGTGTGTATTTAACTTCTCCGGTTCCCCTTGGTGCCTTTGAAGCGACGGTGAGCTTCGTGCGGTCGCGAGTAATGTCAGGTGGCCACCTGCGGACTCGTGTGGGGGAAAATTAGGTGAATATTAAAAAGCAGTTTGAGGAAGCAAGAAAGGCAGAGAACGAGGAGACAGTCTGCACTACAAACATGCGCTAGGAGGGAAAATGATCCGAAGGAAATTAAAATTCGAGGTGCCTGTGTCGGCTTCCGACTGCCCGGCCACCATCTGAGGACCGGGCCGCAGGGAGGCAGCGGCTGCCGGCAGGTGCTCTGTCTGTGCAGCAGGGCCGGGCCAGTTCGCAGCCCCGCGCTCTGCACAAGACGGCGCGAGAGCACCATTCACCGCTGACACGCCTGGGCCTGCCTCCGCCTTGGGGACCGTGCTGTCCACACCGCGCGGCGTGGGCTTCTCGGGGGCCGCTCAGGTGCAAGGAGCCGCAGTCTGTCTGTGGCCGTCAGGGTCTGATTTAGGGACTCCCTCGAGGCGGGAGCGTGTCAGAAAAGGAATTCGTTTATGTTGTCTGCTTCGTCGGGCGCTGCTGTTGTAACTACTTTATTGTTTTTAATTCTAGGTCTTCAGCTCTGTGAAGGCGGTCCTCGATCTTTCTGTTTTTCAAAGTCACCCTGTGTTAGAAGGCCTGGTAACGGACCTGAGAAAGAAAATCCCAAGTGTAAGCTTCAGTCCTCTGGGACGCAGTGGAACAGTCTCCGTGGAAGGATCATTTCTGGCTGTCGAGAGGCTCAACGAGGCTTTGCTATCAAAAGCAAGTTCTCTGTTAGAAAGAAACAAAAATTTTACCAGGGCGGGGAGAACGCGGGATAGACGGAGCCCCAAGAAGAGCCTGCAGAGAGGGGGTAACTTGGTGGAGACGCTGAGGGCCTCAGTGCCCGAGACCTTAAGGAGCGGGGAAATGCTTGTGCTCGACACAGATGTCTTCCTTTACAGAAGCAGAAGTGTAGGGTTTATGAAGCCACACTCCGCAGGTTCCACATTCTAAGTCAGGAGAGGGTGGACGGTGAGGTCAGCACCATTTGGCTGAGAAGCGCCCAGGCTGGTTCTCAGCCGAGCGGCGTACAGTACGTGAGAGAGCTCTTAGAGGCGTGCTCCCAGAGTCTGTCCTTCGAGCTCAGAAAAGAGACCTTTACTTTTGGAGGAGAGAAAGACAGAGAGAAAAGAAATGTTGAACAGGCGTGCGAACAACTACGTTCAAAATACAGTAAGGTTCTGGTCAGTTTTTACGGGACACACATTGACATTGTAGGATCATCTTCTGACACATACCAGTTTAAAAACGAGGTTATGAAATTGGTAAGGCAGAAGGTTAGTTAAGGAAACCTCAGTCAGGGCAGTGACGGCCCCTGCTTTCTCGTCCTGAGCAGCGACCGCCGAGCGTCGTGCTAGCTCCGTGACCAGGATATCATCTCGTCCTCACGGCCGACCGCTGTGAGCGTGGCTGTCTCTGTGTTGAAGAAGGAACTCGGATTTGGAGAAGTTGAAACTCCTCTCCGAGGTTGTTTAGCTGACAAGGGCGAGGGCTGGGGCTTAACGCAGTCTAACTGCAACGGTAATATCCAGATAAAACGGGAAAAAATTCACTGAAGTTTGAAGAAATCTTATTTTCTCCACAACTTCAAATTATTAGAAAAAGAAACAGCCTTAACTTTAATATGTAAGCATTTTGGGTGATTATTATTATGCCCTGGGTAATTTTTAACATTTACAAAGTTTACACTTATTCCATATAGAATTAGGATGTTGGCAAAAATCACTTGGGAAACTACTTAGAAAGTATTTCTAACGCATATCAGTATTACTCAGCTAAACTCATTCCAGGGCTATTGGGTATGTGAGGCATTTTTGTTGCTGCTTTTTTTAGCCTCTGTGCTTATATAAAAATGTTAGTTCTCTTGTCAGAATCTTGAGGACTCTTGAAAGAAATCTATAGGATTGCTATAACAGATGCTCCTTCATTTTTTTTTTTTCCCTTTGGTCTTTTTGAGACAGGGTCTCGTTGTGCAGTTCAGGCTGGCCTTGAGCTCATTTTGTAGCCCAGGTTGGTCTCGAACTTGTAACGATCCTCCTGCCTCAGCCTCCCGAATGCTGGGATTACAGGCGTGTGCCACCACGCCTGGCTGTTACAGTGGGCTTTTGAAAGATCTACTGGAAAGTAAACAGATGTGATTATGATTATTTGAACTGTGTGTCAGTAGAAAAGCACAAGACAAACCTGTTTGCTTTTAGTTTTCCAAGACACCTAAAACTAAAATGTGTAAATAATTCTATTCCCATTGCCTTACGCAGTGTGTTTTTGACACCAAAAACATAAGCAACAAAAGCAAAAATTGACTAATGTTTTTTCTTTCGTTCGGGCTATTCCAAGCACCCCACCGGGCGACTTAAGCTGCAGATGGTTATTTATCGCGGCTCTGGAGGCCGAAGTCCGGAGGAGGGCTCCGCCAGGGTCGGGCCTGGAGCTCGGCCTGCTGCTGGAGCGAGCGGGAGAAAGGAAAGGCGAGGAGAATGCTCCCTGCGTCTCCCTCTTAGAAGGGCCGTGCTGGCGTGGAGGGCCTACCCCAAGCACGGGCTTTCCTCCCTGAGGCCCCGCCTGCAAACACCGCCACGTTGGGGATCAGAGCTCAGGGCAGGGGCGGTGGGAGCCCGCAGACCTTTGCCCCGTGACACCCTTTTCCCGAGTCCACAATTCACGGCCTTGTCCCGTGCCACACACGCTCTTTCCGCCCCAGCCCGGGCACCATCTCTAAGGAATCCTGACGTCCAGGGAGTCATCCACTTCCCAGGTGAGGGAGGCTCACGCACAAGTCAGTCTGCAAAATTCCTGCTCTCCAAGAGGGAAAGAGAAGGACGAGCCAAGCAGGTGCGAACTCGGCGGGGCAGACCGTCTGCGAAATTACAGCTTGAGAATAATTTTCGGTTTATTCCTCTGTGCTTCAGGCACCCAGGGGCCACCGCAGAGCAAGGCTGCCCGGGACTTTTTTTTTTTTTTCTTTTTTTAATCTTTTTGAGACATGGTCTCACTAGCAGTTCAGGCTGGCCTTGAGCTCACTTTGTAGCCCAGGCTGGTCTCGAACTCGCAACGATCCTCCTGCCTCAGCCTCCTGAGTGCTGGGCTTACAGGCGTGTGCCACCAGCCCGGCTAGCTGCCCGCTGCCGGGGACTTGATCCGGGGTTTGCGGACCCGGAGCAGCGAGCAGCGCAGTTACAGCAGGCTGCGCAGGGCGACAGGCAGGAGCCGAGCGACCAGCTCCAAAGCGGGGCACAGCAGCGGCTGCTGGGAGCCCCCGGACTGCAGGAGCCAGGGAAGGAGGCGTCGCTGCTGACTCCCCGACTGGGTGGACTTAGGGTTTCCAAACTGCGAGAGAACAAGTTCTGCTGCTTTTAAGCCGCAAGTTTGTGACAGTTTATGTGGCTGCCCTAGGAGACGCAGAGAGCTGGCTTTCGTTCAGCGCCTGCCTGCGGCCTCCGCCCTCCAGATGGTGTCGGGCGTGAGCCTCCCGGACTCTCCCAAACCGCTTTCTCTTGAGGGTGGGGTTTTCCTATCTTACTCATTCCTAGCTCATAACAGGGCACCTGGCCTGTAGTGAGCGTCCCACAAACACTTTTGAAATATAGGCACAGTTTTTATGATATAATTCAGGGCCTTGTGCTAACAAGCACCCTAACACATGTGTGTCCACCGGTCCAGGAATTTCTGTCTTTTCTGTGCTATCTAGTCTTTCTCCTCCTCAACATAAGAATGGAGATACTAGTTTCTTATCCCCCTAGTGGAGTGTGTCTGCATTTCCCACTTGCACTATTTTCCCAGTGTAGGAAATTCTGTCAAGACTACCTCTTTTATTCTTTTATTCTTTTTTTTTGGTCTTTTTGAGACAGTCTGGCTATGCAGCTCAGGTTGGTTTTGAGCTCACTTTGTAGCCCAGGCTGGTCTCAAACTCAGAAGGATCCTCCTGCCTCAGCCTCCAGAAAGCTGGGATTACAGACATGTGCCACCATGCCCGGCTACCTCTTTTATTCTTGTCAAGCAGTAATTGTTCCTGGCCCAAGGGTACGAGGCATCGTCCCTGGACTTGTTGGAGCGGCCCTCTCCATTTACCTGTATCTGGACTAGGTTTCACAGTGAGACAAAATACCTTGTGATTTAATTTGGTAATTATGAAGAGTTTCTGAGTCCGTCTCCTGCAGTCGCTGGTGATTGTCAGTTCTAAGAGGCCACCGAGGGATTCACAAGGTCCGTAAGCAATGTACCTGTCATTAATGCTTGATATAGTAAGTGTTTTAATCAGTAGAAAACAATACATAGCACGCGTAAGTGTGTGAAGACTGTCCTGCAGTGGATGCGTTTCCAGCAGTGCCGGCCAAAGCAATAGGTGCAGAATATGTCTCCACTTTATTCTTTATGAAATTCAGCAGTGGAGGAGGTAGGTCTGATTTGTGATACTGATTCTGATGTAATGAACGACTTCAATTTTCACTTCAGATCTGTCCTGGATCCCAGGGACCCGCCTCCCTCCTTCTCTTCCTCATGGTGCTGTATTCCGGTGTTTGAACACCAAATCTCAGAGAAGCTCTTTCTCCGCTGCTCTCCGCTCTGCCGTCTTCGCGGAAGTCCCACCGGTTCATCACTGTACCACTGTATTGAAACACTGTCTTCTTTGTTCTGTCCTCAGTGCAGTTGACCCATCATGGCTCTAGTGGGCAGAATGGTGTTGTTGACAAAGGGAAACAAAGCATCTTCAGCTTGGATTTGAGTTTGTTTCGGGTTGAAGCGGAACTGACTAGCTGTGAGATTAGAAGGGATGAGGTATTTGTTCTTGTTTAAGTGTCCTTGGGACCTGGTTCAGGCTTTCTCCCCCCAGATTTTCTCATTTTTAGAGAGGCGCACCTTGAAAGGATGTTCCTTTTTTACGTAGTTAAATTATAACTTTGTGGAAATCGGATTGGAGCAGGCCAGGCTGTGGGAACCTGGCAAGGAGTGTCCTGGAGTGGGAACTAAAGCATATTAAAAAAAGCATCTTTAAATAGAAACCCATAAAACAAAGGTATGCATTGATTCATTTCTGAAAATGAGACCAGAGGCTTCTTTTTTTATTTTGGTACCAGGAATCAAACTCAGGACCTTGTGCTTGCCGGGCAGGCGCTTGTGCCACTGAGCTATATCCCCGACCCTGACACCAGAGGCTTCTAAGAACCTGACCCTTTACTTCTCCTAGGAGTTAAGGTTCGGCAATTCAGTGTTCTCACTTTACGGAACATGAATATCAACAGTCAGCTGTACACACAGCTATTTCCCTTAAGGGACCCAAACTGTTTGTGAGGATGAGTTAGCAGCAGTTCTTCCCTAAGAACTTGTGGCGGGACCGGGCCCCTCTGGTTCCCAGGGGTCATCCCGTCCCTCGTGTCCTCCCCTGGGCGAGCACTTGCTTCTGCTGTACCCTGAGCTGAGGCGGGCGGTGGGAGCGTGCTGTGAGGTGCAGGGACAGTCTGGAGGTGGCAGTGAAACGGTGTGACTCACCTTTGCCCATGTTAAGACTCTACCAGCCCTAGTCCTGTGCCCTCTTTTGGGTCAGATGTGGAGAAAACCGCGCTCTGGCCTCAGAATGATTCGTAATGGGGTTATCTGTTTTCTTGCTCTCATCCTCCAGTGCGTAATTGCAAAAATAAAACAACTGGACCTTGGTGCACTGGCCAAGATCTAAGCTGTCCCGTTGTAACCGATCACAGTGATGCAGACACGAAGGCCAGGGAGTCCTGCTGGTGTCAGTCCTAGATGAAACCTCAGGGCTCCCCGGCCAGTGATGGGTAAATCAGCAGTGCCCGCAGTCAGCTCAGGTTTGTGCTGGGCTGGAGAGTGGGAACATGTTCAGTTAAATCTGTATTGGATTTTGTTGTTGAGCCTTAGCTTTTAGTGAAAAACTCAAAGGTGGCCAGGTTCTCCTGAACTTGGCATTTTTGGTCACAGTTGAGAAGACTTCTTCTGTGTGCATGAGAGCGGTCGTGAGGAGTTGTGTTCTTGCTGCCCTGAGATTCCCGTGTAAGGACTTTGGGTGTGTCCATCCCGCGTTCAAGAGACGGGGTCACTTTGCACCGTGCCTCTCTTTTCTGGGCTCTAATTCCGCTTTTCTTCTTTCAAGAATGAGTTTTTTCTATTTTTTTTCGTGCAGCAATGATAATTTTTAGATATGCGTATACCAAAGTGTGTCTGAAATTTAACATCGCAGAACAGACATGCACATCCGTATTCTAAGACAAACGGAAATTATTCAGGGGGGACAAGTCTTCCTTGATTATATGAGTCTTGCTTTCTCTGTTTTATATCAGTTGTAACACTTCATATGATCACTTACTATTTTAAAGTACGTGATTTCAGTATAAGTCAATTATTTGTAACATTTCTTCCCCTCCTCCTGCTACCTGGGAGTAAGGCCTAGGCCTAAGGCCTTGTGTATGTTTTTCTCTTTTCTTGTCTCTCTTCTGTTTTAAAAATTCCATGTCATGTAAAAAACACCAATAGGACAATTAATTGCTTTTAGAGAAACCCTGTCTACTCCTCTGAGTCTAACCCAAGTATGCTAATGACTAAAGTGAAATAGAGCAGTTCGAAATAAAAGGAGATATTAGAGCAACAGGGGCAGCTTGTAAACGGCAGCAACGCATTCTATAAATGGTGATGATGTTACTTAGAGCGACAGAACACGACATCCTGTGCGGTAGGATGAGGGATCGCGCGGGCACCGAAGCATTCACCCTCTGACTCCGTGCCTGGCACGGTGAATGTTAGAAACAATCACAGTTTATCTTTCATTAGAAACAACCACAGTGCCGTGTAAGGCGCGCGCCGCTAAGCGGGCGGACAGCGTGGGACCCTGACATAGATCAGGGTTGTTTCTCTGTTTCTAAACTGGCTTGCGAATTAGAGGCACTTGCAATCCAAGAGCACTAGAGGGAGCCAGACCCCTTTGCAAAGATTTCTTTGCTGCGGCGCTAAAAGCCCAACTCGCGTCCACACTTACAGCACTTGTGGACTTGTGGGTGTGGTGCTCCGCGACAGCGCACAGGTACGACTACGAGTGCGTTAGGAGTTCACGGTCGCGGCTGGAGAGGGCGGGTGGTCCGCAGGACGACGGACTCAGAGGCCCACTGTCTAGATGCGTCTGTGGACCTTGTTTGCAGTGTGCTGCGAACAAATCAGCTTTGAAAGCATGTTTGGGGGCTGGGGACTTAGCTCAGCGGCACAACACCTGCCTGGCAAGTGCAAGGTCGTGAGTTCGATTCCCGGTACCGGAGAAAAACAACAACAAAAACAAAAAAAGCGTGTTTGTGAGACATTTGATCAGGAACTAAATATTGTATTTTGGAATTATTGTTTATTTGATTAGGTGGGATCATCGCATCTTGGTAATGTTAAAAATTCTTCATCTACTAAAGACACATACATTAGTTTTTTTTTTTTTTGCATGAAATTATATGGTGCCAAAATTTATTATAAAATACTGCACAGGAAGGCAAGTGTGTGTGGCGGAGTGGGGGAGTGTGTGGAGGAGAAGAGACAAGACTGACAATATCTTGATAATTACTGGAACAGCAGCTCATCATTGTATTGGTTCAGCTTTTGTGTCTAAACCTTTTCATTAGAAGTAAAGACGACAGATATTACATCCCTACAGTGTATAGTTATACTTTAGTGTGTTATCATTTAGAGCAGATGTGTATTTTTTCTTAGGTTACAAACTGAGTTGTATAAGAAAATATTATTTTCCCCATAATTGAATTTAAGTTTAATTCCTAGTTTGAGCTTCTGTTCTATTAGATGGCAGAAACCGAACATCACCTAACTCAGAATTTTCTCACGTTGCATTGCCGGAAACTTGAGTCAACATAATCTGGACTGTCCCACTGCCACCTGCCAGAATGGTTTGTTTTTTGGTACTGGGAATAGAACTCAGGACCTATGCTTGCCAGGCAGGTGCTTGTGCCACTGAGCTGTATCCCTGGCCCCAAACAAATATTCACCACTTGTTTTTGGTACTGGGAATCGAACTCAGGACCTTGTGCTTGCCAGGCAGGTACATGTGCCACTGAGCTACATCCCCAGCCCCACCTGCCAGAAGTGCAGTGGGAGAGCAGTGAGAGGGGGTGGTGAGCTGGAGGCTGGCCCTTGGCTGTCGCTTTGCAGACATCTAGTGAGACAAACTGGACCTTCTCATGGGTAATTTGTCCTTGCACATGACACCCACATTTTCTGATGATGAAACCCAAGGCCTCTGCATCCGAGTCTCCTGGTACTGCCGACCCTCTCTTGAAATAGGGGAAACATCCAGACATTTCACTCTGGTGTTCTCAGCTCTGGCTGCTTAGCCATTTCTGTTCTACTTCTCCTGAACCGGTGATGGTGAGCCTTTCAGAGCCGAGAGCCCACACCACAACCTCAAACCACTGATTTACCACAAAGAGCCGACACTGTAGCTACACCTGAGTACTGACGCTTTAGTTTAGAAAAAGCAGCTCCTACATCAACATCTTTTGTCATAAAAGAAAAAGAAAGAACATGCGTGCCATAGGTTCGCCATCACTGTCCTGCACCGGGTCTTTCATGGAAGGCCCCAGAGAGCTCACTGGGGCATTTCTGGTTCTGTAGGTTCTAGACGGGAACAGGTACCTTCTGCTTTCAAGTCTCTTAACAAATCTGGTTGCTATAGATCAGTCTTCAGAAGAGAGGGACACCTTCTTAAGGAAATACTGCAACGTCTAATTGCTCTTCTTGATGCTTGCTGTATAATTTTTTTGGTAGTGATTACTAATGGCATAAACATGTCAAGGTGACTCAAAGCCCCGGATGTCGAGCAAGGTCATGGATCCGCAGGAACTACAAAGAACACTTTCTTTAGTTAATACAGGAATTAAATCTTTCCTACTGAATCATTCTAATTAAAATGTAATAGTTCCTTTTTGTATAGGAATAAAGTAAGGACACAGTAGCAAACAGCGGTTAAGAATGTTGGTGCTGAGGCTAGCCAGGTCAGAGTTCTAAGTCTGCCTCTGTGTCTTTAGCTGGGTCATACATACATTTATTGAAAGATTGTGAACCTAAATTTTCTTACTTATAAAGCAGAGGCAATAACGTCTACCATGCAATGGTTGGGGGAAAGGTTAAGCAGAAATATGAATATAAAGTGCACAAAGGAAATTTGGTACTTTGTATAAAACCTATACATGACAGCCCTTTTATTATTTAGATTAATACATAAGCAGGAAAAGCCCATTACACAGTTTCTGCATCTGGTTATTGAGTATTTCTCCCAAGATTTCCCAAGTTATTAGCTCAGGTCGTAAAGGACCACGTGGGGATTTGAGTGCAGCCCCAGGAATTGAAGCCACCGCAGCTCAGAAGCGTGCTCTCTCTGGTGTCTGCCCTGAGGTGTACGGGGCCTCAATTCCCTCGGCAGCTTCAGAAATCATTGCTTAGCTTTCACCCACGGTGTGGCCCATCCTTTATGAACTGTCAGTAGAAAGGAAGCAGAGGAAAGGAGGAATTCCAAGGGCGTACTATCACCATGGCCTTGTGAAACAGAGGAAAAAGAAACCCAAACAGTTTACAGTGGACAGGCTTCCAGATGTTTATTCCAGGGCTTTATGTTCAGAGTAAAAAGAAAATCCAAACAAATGCCATGTCCTTCTCCCGCACTGTCAGAAAAAGCAACATTCCTCGGTCCCCCTCCCGCTGTGGATGGCTTTGTATTGTGGCTGGGAGAGGTAGGCAGATTGCTGCCGTTTCCCTGGCCCCCTCGACAGAAACTCCACCCTGAGCTGGCTTTTGATTCCTCTTTGCTTGTGGACATTGGAGTCCTCTCCCCTGAGTAGAGACGCGCAGCTTTGTAATTAGCCTGCTTCCAGATGCAGTCTGGTGTCGTTAAGGGCCAACGCACCAAGAATTGGCTTTGAGTAAGAAACTGCTGTCCTGGATATACGCATACTCTGTCCAGATGCAGTCTATTAATTAACCCTAGGCACTGGAGTGTTGCATTGTGTTTTAATGGCTTAGTAGTTGAAGCAGGTCCTGTGGAAAAAAAGAACTCTCACTCAGAGACCACTCGCTGTCACACTACTACTGCACGCACGCCTCTGGCATCGGTGAGGTGCGAAAATGCACCAGTGACCTGAGGAGGGAAGCAGTCGCGAGCAGAGAGGAAGGCTGCACTGCGATGCGCACCTGATCAATCTCGGGCCAACTCAAGGCCAGTTGCCGTCACAGTCAATCTGTGTTGGGCCACGACTGTCCACCCTCTGCACTCTCACCTTGCTGATCACTGGGTAAGCGCTACCTACGCAGAGGCAGCTTTCAGAAGCCTAGGCAGGCTCCGAAAGACGCGGTAGTTGGCAGTAGTCCTCTGACTGCTCTTCAAGAGCAAGCTCTTTAAAGGAGGCTCTGGACTGTGCATCTCTCTGTTTATCACACACTGGGGTGTGGTGAATGGGAAACAGATTACAAAGTATAGCTTCCATTTCCTGCAGTCTCTGAGTGTTGAGTTAGAAGTTTCCTCTGGACCAGCACCCCAGGTGTGGGACAATACTGATAACATTGTCATAGTCTTAGGGCATCTAATTAAATTAGGAAAGAGCTCAGCTGGATTCCAGGGCCCATAGCTATCCTGAAAGTTACCCGCCGTGCTTGTTGCTTGCTTCCGAGTTGTAAAAAGTCTAATTTATTCAAGGCCCAGTCACAACCTTCTGCCTCTGTGCTGGTACTCGTCACCATTGTCATTATTCAGTTCAATATTTCATTATTTATGAGCATCTTTCTGTTCCAAGCACTGTGACAAGTTATTTTGCAGGTCGGAGCTCATGTAGTCAATTTAATATCAGATGTGTTCGGAGAGTAGGCGTGGCATACGTAGAGGGCGGATCAGTTTGCTGTTGCGTGTGACGTCGTTGCGGCTCCGCAACAGGAAACATCCTCTGAGCGGCACTGGTTTGGACCCAGAGCCTGATGCGTGACCACAGTCTATTATGTCACAGAGTGAGGGTCAGTGAGGTTAGCTGCTTGTTCTGTTCTAGATAATAAGGCTCTTGCCTTCAAATAACAGGTCCTGTTATTACACCAGTATGTTCCGGGGTCCTATGCAGGGTGCTGCATGTTCTCACTCACCAAAAATTTGGATTTGGGCCTCCTGCTTGGCAGGGTGAGGGACAAATGGGAGAAGAGATTTGGTGTGCTATTTGTGCCACTAAAGTCCGATTGCAAATTAAAATTGACAAGTCAGACTACCGGTCTAGGGGCTGTAACCAAAATGTTTCTCAGTTTTCCTGAAGCTGTGGATGAGAGAGAGAGAGAGAGAGAGAGAGAGAGAGAGAGAGAGAGAGAGAGAGAGAGAGAGAGTTTCTGTGCTCACTGTGAAAATAAGCCCTATTGTCTGATATATCAGATATAAAGGTATTTGCAAACGTGCTCACATTTTATGTGTGATACGAGTCTATATCTTCCTGAAGTTTTGGGATCAGCTATGAACATCTGTTTCATTTTTTTAGTTTTGTGAAACTAAAATTTTGATGTCTCGTAGACTATGGTAGAGCGTCTAGAGAGACAGATTAAACCCTCTTATTTTGTAATTTTGGATTCAAGTTCTTAGGTCACATGTTTCAAGTTTCTTGTATGATTACAGACTTTATACGTGATTTCCTCTCAGTAGTACTCTTCTTTAAATCTCTAAAAACCCCTGCAACTTCTTGAAGCACGTTTACATAAACAAGATTTTGTATTCTAAGTGTGTATGAACTCTTCGCTGGTTCTAATCAGGATTTTGGATTTACTGGTAGGAAGTAAACTTAGACAGCAGTTAGAAATAGAATTGTCTGGCTAAATCTTTTTTTTGGTACCAGGAATTGAACTCAGGATCTTGTGCTTGCCAGGCAGGTGCTTGTGCCTCTGAGCTAGATCCCTGGCCCTTGGCTAAGTGTTTAAAGCAGTGCTTGAGAGAGAAAGTACAAATAACTGTGTATGTTCTATAGGACAAGTCTGTCAGAACTCTGTGAATAGACCCTCTCTGCATGACCTAGGGAAGAAACCCCATGTGATGAACTTTTCTGAGTCCAGGCTTTCCCCACACCTGCCCTGTATTACTTTACTACTTTGGCTGTAACAAATTATTGCCAATGCAGTGGCTTAAGACAACACGGATATATTAATCACAGTTCTGGAGGTCACAAATCCAAAATGTGTCTCACAGGGCTGAAATCCGTCTGTCAACAGCGCTCGTACCTTGCAGACCCTCTAGCGGAGAGCACGGTCCTCGCTATGCCCCGCTCTTGAGGCTGCTGGGATTCCTTGGCCCGTGGCTCCGCATCGCTTTGACCCTTGCTTCCTTTCTCTGGCTTGTTCTCTGACTGTGAGCCTGTTGCTTTCCTCCTATGAGAACTCCTGTGATTACATTGGGCCCACCTGGGTAAACCAGGATAATCTTCCCAGTTCAAGATCCCCTGTTTGCGAAGTTCTTTTTGCTATGTGTGGCAGTATGTGTGTAGGTTCCATACACACATGGAAAATTGGTTTAGTCGTCTTTACACTGTTACGATAGAGATGTCACACACTGCATAAATTGTAACGAAATGACCTTTATCCCCACAGTTCTGGAGGCTGGAAAGTCCAAGATCAAAGTGCTGGCAGAGGAGAACCTGGTTTCTCTGCTTCCGAGATGGTGCCTTGAGTGTCGCTTCCTCAGAGGGAAGGAGCACCGTGTCTCACATGGCACGGGGCAGAAGGACGCAAACCCACCCACGTGCTCTTCTGATCGTGGAATTAATTCATCAACCCAGACACTTCTCATTAGGCCTCAACTTGCAACATTCTTATATTGGTGATTAAATTTCCAACACATGCGTTTTGGAGGGGACGATAATATTTAAATGACCTGACAGGCAGATTTGGTGGCCCGTGTTTCAACTTATGACATACCTGTTCCTATCGTACCTTCTAGATGAACTGCCTCTTGCTGGTATCTTCACTAGGTCCTACTTGTACCTCAAGCCATATTCAGTGCGTCCTCTGTATTCACAGCCGCTCCTCCTTCTAGTTCTAACTTTGGCTTCTTGCTTGTATCTAACCTCTGTCGTGACAAGCCGTGCTCTGCTGTGTCCGGTTATAATCCTGGCCTTGTGTGCGTCAGTTCCCTCATGTGGAGTTCCCACCTTTCACTCCTGAGTCCTATTCATTGTCCAGGGTTCAGGCTCACGTCTTACCTCCTAAGTGAGACTCCGCAGATGACTTTGCCCGCTTTGATCTCTCTCTTCATGACATTGATGGTTTCTGCACACAGCTCATGACAGCTGTGTTCATATGTGCAGTACGTACTTGCTGTTCTTGCCTCTTTATTTTGATCATAGACTTTGCCAAGGGGGAGCAATGTCACATTTCTTCTGCGTGTTGAATCGCCCGTGGGATGGTGTTAAACAGGCAGTGACAGTGAGTAAAATATGCTCACTGCGTCGTTCGGCGTTCTCTTTTGATATGTCCATGCTCTTCAGAGACTTGCACTTACTCTTATTCAAGGAAATAGAGTCTAACTTGATATCTGTTGAAGAAATAAAAGGAGAGTCTTTGTGTCCATTGCATAATTCCTTTGAAGCTATCTTCTCCTTTTTTTTTTGAGACAGGGTCTTATTGTACAGTCCTGGGTGGCCTTGACCTCACTTTGTAGCCTAGGCTGACCTTGAACTCACAGCTATCCTGCTGCCTCAGCCTTCTGATTACAGGCATGCGTCACCACACCCAGCTCCATTTGTGTTTTGAGCTCTGTGATATGTAATGTTTATATTCAGACTTTCTCATAAGGGTTAACTGGCCTTCTATTTACCAAATAAACCTGAGAATTTTTGAACAGCTGTTTTAGCTTTTTTTTTTTTTTGGTATCAGGAATTGAACTCAGGACCTTGTACTTGTCAGGCAGGTGCTTGTGCTACTGAGCTATACCCCTGGCCCTAATTTTTTGTTTTTTATTTTTATTTTTTTTGGTACTGGGAATTGAACTCAGGACCTTGTGCTTGCCAGGCAGGCACTGTGCCACTGAACTGTATCCCCAGCCCAAGCCTACAGCATCCGGTATTCCCAGGTGGTCCCCCAGCCAAATACTAACCAGGTGAGTTCAGGGTGTTATGACTGTAGACAATTTGTTTTTTTGTTTTTTGTTTTGTCTTTTTTTTGAGACAGGGTCTTGCTATGCAGTTCAGGTTGGCTTTGAGCTCGTTTTGTAGTCTAGGCTGGTCTTGAACTTACAGCAATCCTCCTGCCTCAGCCTCCCAATTGCTGGGATTACAGGTGTGGGCCATCACACCTGGCCATAATAAATCTTTTCTCTTTAGTAGTTTTTTTTTTTTTTTTGTACTGGGAATTGAATTCAGGACCTTGTGCTTGCCAGGCAGGCACTGTGCTACTGAGCTATATCCCTAGCCCTGTTTTATTTTATTTATTTATTTATTTATTTCCGGTACCAGGAGTCGAACTCATGACCTTGCACTTGCCAGGCAAGTGCTGTGCCACTGAGCTAAATCCCAGCCCCTATCCCCTACCCCTGTTTTAGCTTAAATCATTTTTTGCAATAATGAACCTAAGAGAAAGGTATTATTGTTATTCCCATATATATTACACTCAGACAAATATACTAAGGCAAATAATATAAGTGACAGAACAGTGTTGGAGGTGGATTTGAATCAGGCAATCTGACTTTCAGGTATTTGCTCTTTATCTTTACACTAAACAAGTGAGTTGTGTTTGTGTTCACCTTGGCTAATTGGTGAAAGCTTTACATGAAAGAATATAATTTACTACAGAGCAGAGGGCAACAAAATGTTAAACCACCTGAAACTTCTGAAACAGCAGTGACTTCTCTCTGGACTAGCAGCACTTAGGAGTAAAGCACATCCTTTGCACATTAATAGGCTTATTTTGTTTCCTGCTCTTGCTGTTATGGAAGAGAAGATACATAGGAAGTGACTTATTGATTTCCTCCAAGGAAAACTTAGTAGTGAAATTTTTTGAAGGGGATTCTATTGTCCAGATCTCCCAAGACGAAGGGTCATTATTGATTGCGAGATCACGACAGTAGAAGGTCTGCTGGCCTATGTGTGCAGTGCATTTACACAGTAACTGATTCCTGAAGACACGCATGTATACAGATGTTTCACACGGCTATTTTGATTTATTTCAACCAATATTTTTTCTACCTGAAATCTTAAATTATGAAACTGTTTCACATATTGTTTTAGCCAGAAATACCCAAGACTTTAAAAAATATAAATATTGCCCACCATGAAAGGCCAGTGTATTTTTTCTACTTCTGTATTAATTATGGCATATTAAATGACAATTTTAACCAAAACCATTTACATTGGAGTATCATTTTCTGTAAAATTCATGAAACACTTCACATAGAGAAGTAAAGAATCCGGCTCTTAGAGGTAAGTACTGAAGTCTGATTTGTGCTCTGTGAGCAAAACATGATACAGCCATCTGCACACCATAGATTATGGAAGATTAGTGTACTAGAAAACTTCACTTCAGAAAAAATGCTGCAGTGCAGAATGTTTGTCTCTAAATTTCCCTACTGGCTGGTGAACTCGTCCACGCTGAGGAGCTCCTTCCTCACCATCGAGTGAGTACACAGGTGACTCAGTCCCTGCCGGGAGTCCTCTTGCGGCACAGTGCGTAGAGGAGCCCACGTGACAGGCGGCCACGCTGCAGACCAGTGTCTGTGTTGTTTATTCACTCTAACTTCATGACTTTTAATTTGTGGCTTTTGTTTGAAACTAGCTTTTCCTCTGTTTGAATAATTCTAATACAGGTGATGTCTTTTCAGACCGTTATTTAAGTTACTATTTTAAGCTTCAATTTCAAATGTTTTGAAGAGTGATGGCCTACAGTTTTGACAGTCCCTCCAAGCTCTCCCCCAACACATCAAATGAACATGATCATACAGTTTACTTTTTATACCTATGTGACTGCAAATGTATCCTAAATTTCCTAACAGTCTGATAAGGTCTTCTGTGTTGATATAGTAATAGAAAACTAGATGTGTTTGATATAATAATAGAAAACTAGATTAAAACTGAGAAATGTAATTATTTATATAAAGGGAAAGGAAAAAATGATTGGATATTCAAAGACAGGATAATAGCTATAATCCTTAAGTCTGGTGATGAATAAGAAAAGATAATTTCATAAACCTTAGCATCTATTCATGGAGAGTTCTATTCTTGGGTTCAAATGTGAATAAGCAAAGGATGGGGCTGTAACTGGAAGTGGATGTTATACTCATCTCTCTAACATTCCCTGAGCCCCTGCTCCTGCTCTGTGTAGGTGCTGTGGGGGTTAGGCGAGCCCCAGGAGTGGAATTAACCTAGTCAGGGTAAGACTGTCTCTTTTGTTTGAATGTTGGTTTAGGTAACTCAAGCTTCAGCCACTTAGAGTTTATACCTCACTGACTGGGGATTGATTCTGAGGTGGTCCAAACACCAAGAAGCTCAATATAGGGCTGGGGATTTAGCTCAGGGGCAAAGTGCCTGCCTGGCAAGCGCAAGGTCATGAGTTCGGTTTCTGGTACTGGAGAAAAACGAAAAAAGAAAAAAAAAATAGTTACCCCAAGAAGCTCAATATTTTTATTAGTGAATGTGGGTTTCTACCTCCCAACAGTGACCAAGAATGTGTACTGCAGGAAGCATCTTCCTTCACAAGAAAATTAGCCAGGGGACAAGTGGGTAAGAGCAAATGACACAATCAGAATAAGCACCAGTAACAAAACACACAGTTCTGTAAGAGAAACAGTGGAGTGGTGATTAAACTGCATCTAAGTTCATATTGTCTCCATATTTTTCTGTTACTTCAAGAAATGTTTTTTTTTATTTTAAAGAGAAAAAAAACCCAAAATAACAACAGCAAGGACAAAAACACAACAACTCAAAAACAATAAAAATGATACAGAATTTCAAAATAAGATGATAGGAAATAAACAATGGTTGTTATAGTATATATTGTTATCTTCAACGAAGTTGCTCAGATTACCAGATATAAGAACGCAAGATTGATCAAACAATTAACATTAGCTGTTCCTTCCAATAAACCACTAGAAATTAGTAGTACAATTGTCCCAGCTGTCTTGTGTGTACAAGTTATTAGGGCAGTAACAATAGTTGATCCACTGCGTATTGTTGTCTTCCTAGTAGTAATTCAGAGTAGAAGATGTGTGTATGCTATCTTGTCTATGCAATATTACCACAAGACTTTCCTTTTAATGAACTAAGAGAAATGAGCTGTATAACATTTAGCTGTCTTCTATGTACATATATTTTCTCCTTTTTCCTTTCTTCATTTACCCATCACAGTTTGTCTTTTCTTTTGAACAATTTGTTCCCAATTTTCAGTATCTGTTGTACATTTTGGATCTTATTTACTCATTCATTTTGTCATACTAGTGAGACAACATGATGTTTACACATATGGGTCTGATTTATTGCACTTATGAGTATGGTCTCAAGTTGTATCCATTCACCTATAAAAAACTCCATTTTATCCTTTTTTATGGCTAAGTAGTGCTCCATTATATAAAAAAAACCACAACTTTTTTTATCCATTCTTCAGTTGATGGACATCTGGGATGTTTCCAGTGTTTAACTATTACAAATTGTGCTGCTATAAACATGAGTGCACATATATCACTGTGGTATGATGATTTTAAGTCTTCTGGGAAGGTTCCCAGAAGGGGAATAGCTGGGTTGAATGGGACATCCAATCCCAGTTTTTTGAGGAATCTCCACACTGATTTCCACAGTGGTTGTACCACTCTACACTCCCACCACCAGTGGAGAAGGGTCCCACCAGTCTACCATGGTCCCACCAGTCTACACTCCCACCATAGCTCTGCCAGCATTTGTTATTGGTTGATTTCTTGATGATAGCCATTATTCCTGGGTGAGATGGACTCTCAGTGTTGGTTTTTTTTTTTTTTTTTTTTGGTTTTTCTCTGGTACCGGGAACCGAACTCACGACCTTGCGACTGCCAGGCAGGCGCTTTTGCCGCTGAGCTAAATCCCCAGCCCCTCTCAGTGTTGTTTTAATTTGTATATCTCCAATGACCAGTGATGCTGAACTATTTTTCACCATGCCTTGGTGTGGATTTATTTTAGTCATGGCTATTTGGAGTTCTGTATGCTTCATTTATTTATATGTCAAATTCTTTATTCATATTTGGGAAGTTTTCTGCCATTCTTGCTTTTTTCTTTTTTTTGAGGCAGGGTTTCCCTATGAAGTTCAGGCTAGTCTTGAACTCACTTTGTTGCCCAGGCTAGCCTCAGACTTGCAATGATCCTCCTGCCTCAGCCTCCCAAGTGCTGGGATTACACACATGTGCCACCATGCCTGGCTCTGCCGTTATTTCTGTGAAGAGGTTTCAATGGCTTTTGTGCTGTCTCTAGCTTTCTCACTGATTCCAAGCAGTCTTACGTTGTTCTTCTTTGCTTCATCCTGTATCTGATGGATTGATTTTTCACAGTTTCTTCTCTTTGTTTTTTCCAGTACCAGGAACCGAACTCACAACCTTGTGCTTGCCAGGCAGGCGCTGTGCCTCTGAGCTAAATCCCCAGCCCCTTTCATGTTTTTTTGTGACTTTTCAGATACC